AGAGAGTTTAATATTAAGAATCAAAGTAACAACAGGTGGTGCCAAAACTAAAGAAATACCAAAACAAATTTGCTTTATGCCTGACTCTTGTTGTTAACTATCATCAGTGTTGTCTACAGCAGCAAAATAATCCTTCTGCAATTCAGAATACTCTGCCCTGGAGCTTTCCTAGATTCAGCCCATTCGTTTTCTTTTCCCAAGTCAGGAGCCACTTGAGAAACTGCAAGTCGCTTCTGGTCTGAGAGAATTAGCCTTCTGCAAGGACATTGCCCAGGGGATGCCTGGATGTTTTGCCATCCCATGGGAGGCTTTCTCATGTCCCTGCATGAGAAGCTGGAGCTGACAGATGGGAGCTCACCCAGCTTCCCGATTCAAACCACTGACCTTTTGGTCATTAGTGAACTACCTACTTGCACTGAAATTGTATCGATAGCACCACACTGCCCAAATTCAGATCAGCATCACTATTTTTCCTCAGCAGCCTTCCAACACCACTGTAGCAACCCTCATTATTAACACTCTCTCCTATGCCCATTAGATCTATTTCCATTGAGGAATACTGCAATGGGGCAAAATATAGGTGCACAACTGGGGGTGGCCATGGGCAGAGCAGGAAGAAAAGGTAGAGAAGGGCAAGGAAAAGGCTGGGAGGAGGGGGATCCTTTTTCCTCTTGTTTCTGGAAAAGCAAGTTCTTGACACCACCTCTTCCTCCACACACCAGTCTCTGCTTGCAGCCACCCTTTAACCCTACATTGTCTCTTCCCCCCTTGTTTACCTTCCTGCTGCTTTCCAGCCAAGTGCCTCTCCAGCACAGCTCTGCAATCAAAGTCACTTGCTCAGAGTCATGTGATCAACAGTACAGGGGTGGATTGGGCTGCCTCCTTACCATGGATCACATGACTAGGCACCTCATCTGACCTCAGAACAAGTGACTTCACCTTACTTGGTTGGAAAGTATCCAATCTGTCCCCTCATCCTTGATCTTATGCCTAGGTTTAGCTGATGAAGAAGTGCTGACCCTGTTCTTCTTTATTAACGGAATAATAAATGGGACCAACTAATATTAAACACACACCCCAGCAAACAGTACTGAATAGTTCATAAAAGTGGTGAAGAGGCCACCCACCAATTCTTCACCCCTTCTGCAATGGACACATGTAGCAAAATAATAGTTTCTTGGAAATTGCAGAGCATGAAGTGGACATTTAAAATCACCCTGAAGCCTAGAAGTAGCACTTTCACTATTAAAATGGTAATGCATCTTGTGTACCAAAATAGGAGTGTGTACAGATTTTATTGCTGGTGTAGACAACCCCTTAAGACCATGGTTCTCAACCTTCCTAATGCTGCCATCCTCATGTTGTGGTGACCCCCAACCATAACATTATTTTCATTGCTACTTCGTAACTGTAATGTTGCTACTGTTATGAATCGTAATGTAAATATCTAATATGCAGATATTCACTGGACCAAATTTGGCAGAAATACCCAATACACCCAAATTTGAATACTTGTGGGGTTGGAGGAGATTGCTTTTGTCATTTAGGAGATGTAGTTACTTGGTTTTATAGTTAACCTACAATTCAAAGAGCATTTCGAACTCCACCAATGATGGAATTGAATCAAACTTTGCACAGAACTCCCATGATCAACAGAAAATACTGGAAGGGTTTGGGGGTCATTGACCTTGAGTTTTGGAGTTGTAGTTCACCTACATCCAGAGAGCACAGTAGACTCAAACAATGATGGATATGGACCAAATTTGGCACGAATACTCAACATGCCCAAATGTGAACACTGGTGGAGTTTGGGGAAAATAGGCTTGAGATTTGGGAGTTGTGGTTGCTGGGATTTATGCTTCACCTACAATCAAAGAGCATTCTGAACCCCACCAATGATAGAATTGGGCCAAACTTCCTAAACAGAACCTCCATGACCAACAGAAGATATAAAAATACTGTGTTTTCTTTTTTAAAAAAACTAAAAAAAAGTGACATGCATGTTCTATCAATTCCAGACCACCAAACAGTTTGTGTTGCAGAAGAAAAATCACAACCACAAAGACAAAATACCGCTGTACAAAGTTGTACAAGTATAGCAGCACAAACGCAGCCAGTGTGAAAAATGTCTTGTACAAAAGTGAAATGCACTCAACAACTATAACCCTGAGCTCAGATTTAAAGGAGGAATTTTGCTTGTAAATATTGCATTTTCTGATGGTCTTTGGCAACCCCTCTGACATCCCCTCACGATCCCCACATAGGTCCTGACCCCCAGGTTGAGAAACACTGCCTTAAGACATATGGCAACCCCATAGATGAGAGACTCCAACTAATCATCTGTGGTTATTACTTCTGTTTTCTTAAATGTACAGCTGTAAACCTGCCTTTGAACTTTCTTCAGCAATGCCCAATACAGTCGCTATCAGCATTTCAGTCCCCTTTAATGTACACATGTCCCTACTTTCAGTATTTATATTCTGCAACTGTGCTGCACAAGCTTCAAATTCTGCTGATACACCAACATTCAGCGTCCTGAGTGTGCTATCATTTCTTTTAAAAATCATGTGTCTAACCATCGAAATCTAAAAAGCTAAGCAGAACATACTGAACATGATTTATTGATTTGTTGGAAACCATAACTTCTCTGAACAGAGCATGACATTATTCTTTTAGTATATATACATTCCTGAGATCTACTTTTTTGGCACAGAAAATTCCTATTTATTTCTCTAGTGTAAATTATGGATACACCTTTCCCCATAACTTTTTCCCTTAAGCTTTAGCAGAAGGGGTGTTGTATGACATCTTTTCAAAATGTTCAATCCCCTCCCTTACAAGGCCCCAATGTTCAGCATTTTCCCAGGGAACAATATGCTGCATTGCTTTTTGGAAGGTAGCAAGCTGAATCAAATAACATAACCAATATGTGAACCAAACTGGTCTGCTAAATTGCTTTCTTCATCTAAAGGGCTTAACTATATACTCAGTGTGAGCAGTGCAATTCTTACTTGGTAAAAAGTCACAGCATTAGAGCTATAACTGCATCTGGATATTAGTTATGCAAATTTCCTCAGTCTGTTTTACAGATCATCTTCTCTCCTTTGCCATGAACACATTTCTAGAAGATTAATAAAACCTGTACTTCTGTAATTATGAGAGATCACTACCTGACCTCTGGTTGAGAATTATCACTGTGTTTGGGCTCTGTCATTCTATGTTGGCCCAGCTACCATCACTGGCAACATGGTCAACTCATGTAACTTTGTGAACCTTAGTTGGCCCCTGTAATCAATTATGAATATTTTATGTTCAGATTTTATGTCATTATATAATTTTTATTTGATTATGTTTTTGGTAATTTATTATTGTTAGGTTCTAATGTTGTTTACATATGTGGACTTATTAGGGATTATTATGTCAATATGTATTTGTCTTACTAAAGCATTGAATGTTTACCTTTTTGTATGTTGGAATCCACCCTGAGTCCCCTTAGGGAGATAGGGCGGAATACAAATGAAGTTTTATTATTTATTTATTATTTATATATCCTACTTTTCCTCCAAAAACTGGAACTCTAAATGGTTCAGTTTCAGACATACAAAAAGGAAAAATTGAAACAGAATAAAAACTATTTACAGTGTTAAAACAATTCACATCTCAATTAAAGAAGAAAATGCAATTTAAAAAAACAAAGAGCTATTAAAAACAGTTCAGTTAAGACAACACAGCAGCCCAAACCCATTCTTCAAAATGTTCTGTTTTAAATGTCTGCTTGAATAAAAAGGTTTCGGCCACTGCAAGAAGCACAGCAAGGAGGGGGCCGTTCTGGCCTCCCTTGAAAGGGAGTTCAAAATCCTTGGGGCAGCCACTGAGGAGGCCCTCTCCATCAAATGTGCTTGTCATGGAGGTTGGACTGAGAGGAGGGCCTCTCCAACTGATCTCAAAGCAGGGCTGGATTATGCAAGGAGAAACAGACTGCTAAATAGCCATGGCTTGCCTTTCTCTAATTACTGCTGCCATGAATTCATAGAATCACAGAGTTGAAAAAGACCACAAAGGCCATCCAGTCCAACCCCACATCATGCAGGAAAATACAATCAAAGCATTCACGACAAGTGGTCAGCTAGCCTCCACTTAAAAACCTCCACAGGTGACTCCTCCAAACTCCGAGGAAGCATATTCCACTGTTGAATAGTAATTACCATCAAGAAGTTCTTCCTAATGTTCAGGTGGGATCTCTTTTCCTGCCATTTGAATCCATTTCTCTGTTTTCTAGCCTCTAGAGCAGAAGAAAACCTTGGCCCTTATTTAATGTGACCTCTTTTCACACATTAAAACATGACTATCATATTTCTTCTCAGCCTCCTTTTCTTCAAGGCAAACAATCCCAGCTCCCTCAGCCGTTTCTAATAGGTTGGGCTTCCAAATTTTTGATCATCTTGGTCCCTCTTCTCTGGACACATTCCGCCTTGTCAATATCTTTCCTGAATTGTGATGACCAGAAGTGGATACGGTGAGGTTTGGTCAAAGCAGAATAGAGCGGAACTATAATTTCCATCGATCTAGGCACTATAGGCTGATGCAGCCTAATTCTCAGTTCTCAATTCACACCTAACCCCCATCTGTGGAGCTTACTGATAAGCATACTGGGTTGTCCTACTTGAGGTTATTAGTAGTCTAAATTTATTTGGACAGCAGCATGCTTAGGTTTTTGGATTCTCAAAATTGAAACTTGTTAAGAATATTAACTATATCTTCCATATAGAAGAGAAACTAACTTGCAATTCTGCTTATGAGAAATACCCAGGTTCCTTACAAATGGAACAACTTCTGTGCTAATGAGATTCTTTGTTCTTAAAACATAACTCAGCTCATTAACAACTTTTAAAGCACTTTAGAACACACAATTCTTCAAAATTCTTCTCCATTTTGAAAATGGCCCATTTAGAACTTCTCCGGGATAATAACTCTGTTTCATGCAGGGCTCAGAATCCTACCTGATATGCTTCCAGTCCACATCCACAATGCTCTCCACCCCCTTACTCAGTTCTTTCACCTGAAGGATCTTCTGTTGCTGCATCGACTGCAGGAACTTAGAGAACTAAAGACAGTAAAAAGCCATTCGATTTAGTGTGCTGGGACAACACCTGCAACAATCCAGCAGAGAATCTATGTTGCAGTGGCAATTCTAAGTCAAACCTATCATAGGGTTTTCTTCGTAAGATCTGTTCACAGGGTGATTGCTACAACAACAAAACTTTATTTATATACCGCTCTATCTCCCCAAGGGGACTCAGAGAGGTTTCCAAGTAACAGAATCAATACATACAAAGAAAACAGCATAAACATAAAATTAACAAGACAATATAAGCATTAAAAACCACAATAGCACATATATTTAAAATAATCCTGCCTGTCCAAGGCAGTTTAAAAGACCGGGCCAGGCTAATGCAATTTTAGGGAAATTAGGTAGAGTCTATGGCTGTACATTTCCAGGGCCTAATAGAAGAAAGGGATCTAGGTAATTGGTAGAAGAAGATATGGCCAATTCCAATAGCAACTGGGGCAGAGCTAGAACTAGTCGTTCTCAAAAGTTTGTTTAAACCACCAGGTCTTCAGCTCTTACAAAAGGAGGGGAGGGATGGGGCCTGTCTTATTTCTCCAGAAAGGGCGTTCCAGAGGCGAGGGGCCACCACAGAGAAGGCCCTCTCTCTCGTCCCCACCAACCGTGCTTGTGACGGTGATGGGAGCGAAAGGATGGCCTCCCCGGAAGATCTTAAAGTTCACACCAGTTCATAGAGGGAGATGCGATCGCGAAGATAGGCGGGGCCCAAACCGTTTAGGGCTTTATAGGTCATAACCTGCACCTTGAATTTGGCTTGGCAACTTATCGGCAGCCAATGAAGCTGTTTTAAAAGGGGTGTTGTATGCTCCCTATAGTTTGCTCCAGTAAGGAGCCTGGCTGCCGCCCGTTGTACCAGTTGGAGCTTCCGGGCCGTCTTCAAGAGCACATTGCATTAGTCCAATCTGGATGTAACCAAGATGTGCTACTGCCCTCTTCTGAGGATGAGCAGGTGTGACGTGACCAAGGCCACCAAGTGGATTTCCATGACTGAACAGGGATTCAAATCAGTCTCCAGAATCGTAGTTCAAATCACTATACCATACTGGCTCATACTGTAGTCCTATGCATGCTTTTTTCATGTCAGTAGTGACTTGAGAAACTGCAAGTTGCTTCTGTTGTGAGAGAATTGGCCATCTGCAAGGATGCTGCCCAGGGAATGCCCAGATGTTTGATGTTTTTACCATCCTTGTGGGAGGCTTCTCTCATGTCTCCGCATGGGGAGCTGGAGCTCACAGAGGGAGCTTAACCCACTCTCCCCAGATTTGAACTACTGACCTGTTGGTCAGCAGTCCTGCCGGCAAAAGAGTTTAACTAATGCTTTATTTTGTATTAAGATCCATTGAATATGTTGGGACTTAATTTTAATTGAACAAGAAGAAACAATAAGGACTTCTGAGTTAGGCAATAATCTACACACAGACTTTATTTGCATGAAATGCATTAACTGACTCTTACAAAAAAGTTATTACAGTAAAGCACAAAGAAATATCCACAGAAAACCAGATTATGAACTGCTCAAACATTGTACTGGACTGCACAACTTTGCTTCATCTTGAATTTCGTAATTTTCATTATTATGGGCAAAAAAAAAATGATAGATGTATTTACAAATAAATGATGAGGAATAGAATAGCTAATATGCCATTTTTGCCTAAAGCATCACTAGTACACATTGAAAACTCCAGCACAACAGAGTTGCCTCCCTTTCCTCCTGCAGGGGCAAGCAATGTGTTGAAACTGTGTAAGGAACAAATACTTGAGAAGTAGGTAAGTTAAAAATCAGGATTTTTCTTCTTAAGTAAAATCATTATTTTTCTTCCCCATCTTTCACAATACAGAAGAATATTTGCTCACCTTTTTGTAGCTGGATTTCTTAATGTCGAGCTGCTGACCTTTTGGGCTATTGGTAGATTAAAAGGAGAAAACAATTATAAATAAGAAAAACGACCAAACATGAAAACCATACTTTAGCACCTAAAATTATATTTCTATCCCATTCCTGATATCTCTGCCTTGGGCATGAATGCACAGAAATTCCATACAAATATATGAAATACAGCTGCCTTCTCCATTTGAAATGACCTTTTCCTTCTCATTAAGCTTATATTGAAATCTAGGTGCTCTTCTTTCCTGTGTGTGATTCAACGGTGCATAACGAGCTTTTCAGATGCATAGTGAGCTTTTCAGAATTAAGCATAATGCTTCATGTGAACAGAATTTTTAATCTTCATTCTTTTTGTACTCTATCTTAACAGACTTTGATCCATGTTAAACCCACTGTAGTAGTAACAGCTAGAACCTAGCACCCTAGCACTTTTACTTCTAATTCTGATGACCAGGGTTCTAGTCACATCCATACCCAGCAAGGATAATTTCCTTATTCTGTTTCAATCTTAAAACCAACTAAACATGTACATATGGTTGGCTCCGGTTCAGTCTCATAATCCCTTTACAAACAACAGTGGTGTTCATGTGAACGCCTGTATATGGGACTCTTTACTGACTGTAACTTTATATCTTGGAGCTCCCAACACTTAAATCTATGAGGAAAATCTACGGGCATTGTGCCTACTTGTGAATCAAACACAGTATTTTAATGTAAAGTTTAACACTATGTAACATAAATTTTGTTCCTGGTTTATGTCATTTCCTAATTGGTTCCATCATAAAAATATGGAAAAAGTTTATTAAACTGCAAAAACTTTCTTTTTGTTAGCACGTTGAAAGGTTAAAAATGTTTTTCAGGGACATCCTGCAGCATATTTTGCTCTAGTTTTTGCTCTAGTTCTCATAGTCTCAACCAATTCAACATAGTTTGTGGCAGCCACAAAAATGTGGTTTCTGAAGTTCAGCAACTACTTTCAAAGTTAAGTACTACACAATTAATCAGGAAACTTTCAAACCAGGAATAGAAAATTTTACAATTTTTGTTACATAGCGCAATTGAAAGCTTTATACACTAGTTACCTGGCTACCCAGTTAATATGGGAAAGTTGGCTGTGAGCTGCTTGCAGCTTGAAAGATTCATGTTTCTCTATCATTTAAAAAAGTGGAGGAAACAATGCTTTTGGAGTGGCACCAAAACACACTCACTGTAACATGCAGACTTCTGACACTGCAAGTTCAACTGCTTGCAGCTCTGATTAAAAGGTAGCAGGGCTTTAAAAAGACTGCTGTGTTAATACCCTAGAGAGCTACCTCTATTATAGGTAAGCTGGATAAATGTTTTGGCTCCACATGTCACTGAATAGCACTGCATCAACTGTTACAAGGATGGGCAAAGGGTGTCCTATGGCCTATGACTTTTGTGAATTCAGGACCTCCAATGTGGTCTCCAACATTCCCACACCACTGATGCTCTTCTCAATTTCCTGATTGACTTCAAAAATGCCTAATGAAACCAAGAGGGCACTGGACAATTCCCTGACATATTTAAAGTACAGTGGATCCTATTTTCCAAACTGGAAGTAACTAAAAATCACTTTTGGTTTTGTAAGTAAGTCCCCTCCACACCTGAAACAGGCCAAGAAGACACCTGAAACCAGATAAAATAAAATTATGGTAGATTCCTCTGCAGGAATGGAGACTAAAGTTGTTTGATACTTTTGTAAATTATACAGATATTATTACAGACTTTAAAATATTGACCTTGTATTAAGTGCAGTGATTTGCTAAACAATATTTGCCGTAACAGCCTTCAACTTGAACAGTAAATTGAATGGATTATAATGACATGAGAGCACCACAGCCAGTCATCAGAGAGGATGGTAGCTACAGTCCAGCAACATATGCAAAGCCACAGATTCTCACTACTATACTTGCCAGCATGAAAACATATAGTTGCGCAGAAAGGTGCTGGTCAGCAGAGGGAGCTCTGATTTCTTCACTTTGCATTTTAAGGCATGAAAGAAACACTGATGAAGCAACACATCCATTAGCTCTGCAAAGCAACAAAACAAAACATAAAGAACAGTTCCTTATCAGCTACATCACAAAACAATAACATGGTGCAGCCCATTACAGAGCACCATCACACAGTGAACATCTCCACAGCAACTTATACAGTATGACTCCTGCAGGGACTGTTGGTTCATCTACCCACATTCAACAAAAATGTAGCTTCTCAAAGAATTTTCTAGGTCCTCCAAGCAATGCTATGGTATGCTTCCACCAGAAGTTACTATAGAGTGATGCTAAAAACCTAGCAAACTCCTAGACAGAATACTTATTTACGAACCTTGTAATGACTTTGTGTTGCCCTCATTTTGCCTACTTATACTGACAAGCAAAGCTGAGACTGAGGGTAGTGGTAGTGAAGACTGTAAAAAAATTGACACAACACTTCTAAGAAAATTAAATTTCTACAGAAAAAGTCAGTACATCAACTGTGATCAAAGAGCTTGATCTGTTCTAAAGATTTGTTCTAAAGTTCTTTGAATATATTTTAATGGATTTTAACTGTGAATTTTTCAATACTGTTTATACAGTATTTAATTCTGTTTTAATGTTTGCTTATTTTAAATTGTATGCTAATGCTTTTCAGTTAAGCTGCTTTGAGTCTCCTTTGGAAGAGATCAAGCGGGGCATAAATAAATAAAATAAAATAAAGTTCATTTATATATAAGTCGGAACAGGTGTATCTCCAGCCAAATTTTTTATTTTAGCTTTGGACAGCATAGGGAGGGTGTGCACTCCTGTAACATTTGTTGTCCATGCCTCTGTTCAGATTTCACCTTAATCTCTGTTCCTTTGATTGGATTTTGAAAATGTTGGGTTGTCATGGTAACAAGGATTGGTGATAGAGCTTCAATGGAAACACCTTTTCCCCATGACAACTCTTACAGGAATGAATTCTCTTTCCTTGAGGTATATTTCCTCTCACTTTCTGCTGTCTCACCCCCCTTGGTAACTAGAACTCGGATGTAAGTCAGATGTTTGTAACTTGGGGACTGCCAGTATACATAGCACACATGATAACTTTACAACTTCTGAAGTATCCCCAATATGGCAGGATGTATCAGTCTGTCTTGCTCCTTAAGCATGCAATTGCTCTCTTCAACTAACAGAGAGCACTAGAAAGAGAAATGCCTATCCACAACTTTTCAGTTATACCTTGTGGACTCCTGTCTTCTATTTCGTGAGGAACTTCTGGGCTTTCTTCTCTGACAGTTTCAGCAGCTCCATCTTCATTTGGTACCTCCTCTCTCCTTAGTTCAGCAGACTGAGTAGCTTCCTCCACGATTAGATTTCCAAAGTCTCTCTGCAAGGAGGAGTCAACAGAGAAGCTGTTTTCCAACTCTTGGACCTTCCCTTCTTCATCTTCTTGTTCCTCTTCTTCAGCACCCATCACCTTGGAAGGTTCTCCTTCTAAGGGAGCTATGATGGGTGGGCATGACTTGTCACCAAACCCCCTTTTCAATTTAAAAGAAAACAGTAAAGTGTTATTCTAAATTCCCATTTGAAGAAAAGAATTGTTCACAGCCAAGAATCAAGACACGACTAATTAATATCTTCTCTGGAAAGAATACCTATTTCAGGGAACAGGAGCAAATATCTGAAGACATGCACAAGTAAAACAATCTGGAAAAGCAAACTCTTCAAGAAAGACTAAGTGGTGATGTGAGCCATCGTTAGATATCTGAAATGTTTTCTGTTGCTCCAGTGGATTAAAATTATATTTAAAAGGAGGTTTAACTAAACAGTGGCTCCCAACCCGTGGGCCATGGACCACAAGACCTAACATAAGGTCCGTGGCTCTAGATTATTAAATATGGTTTTCTGCGGGCAAGCAGATGGCAACTACTGGATGGCAAATGTTCTGTATCAGAAACCAGAGCTGATGTAGTCTATCCAATGCTATTTTAAAAATCAACACCCCAAATAACCAAACCGAATCTAAAGTAGACCAAAACCTGATTCGTAACCCTTTTGGTACTAATATTGGAAAGTGGTCCCTGGTCAAAGTGGTCCCTGGTCAAAAAAAGGTTAGGAACTACTGATTTAGAAGCATTTTGACCAAAGAATGGGCTGCCTAGGATGGTTGTAGGATTGGAGGTTTTTAAGCAGAGGTCACCTGGGTATTTTTCAGTGGTGCTTTAGCTATGGATCTGTGGCACTCCTTATAATTGTACATTTCTGTGACTCTGCTAATGCAATATTGTTACTATGCATGAGAATACATTACTCAGAATAAACCATTCTTACAAAGTCTTCATCAAAACCATGTTCTTCCTGGAGGCGGCTGAAAGCTACTAAAACCCCACATCCTTTGGCTTGTATGTTCCATTTTGTGTTTAACACAGGGCACACTACAGGTTCATTTCAGAAGATAAATTCTAATAACTATAAAACCTATGAACAATTGAAATACATGTATGCAATTTACATCTACAATACATCCATGGAGTCAGGCAAGAAGAACGGGGACAGTTACACTTAAGATATGATTGGTGGTGCAAGATATTTCAAAGGAACTTCTCCCATCACCATCACAACACATGTCACAAGTCAGGAAAAAGTTGTAATGCTTAACCCAAGAGTTCACTGAGGTTGAAGAAGAGACACTTCTTGCTAGAATTCAAAGAGAACCATGAGAACAGCAATTGTGTCAGTATTCAGTATGTATAGATTATGCTACAGCAGAATTCTCTGGTCAATTCATAATTTAAAAGTTCCGAGTTGTTATCGTTCTCTGGATTGAACCACACTTTGACTCGGCTATCTGCAAGTTGGCAACCCTTTTTTGTAAACTATCATACAAATTTTGGTTAGGCACCCACCATAAGTGATCCAAATATGTATGAAGCACTGTGAAGCCTTTTCCTTTCATCCCAGCTGCTGCCATCTCTGCAGTGGACATATTAGCTATTCCAATGGCAACAGGGGCACTGAAAAAAAGAAACAAAAAATAAGCAATGCTGAAGACAAATTGCCTGATTCTTACTCCAACAAAATAAACAAGTTATGTACTAGTGTCTCCAAAAAAGAGTCTCAACACGGCATTTGACTAGACCTCAGGAAAACCAGGGGTTGAATTGTCATTCAGTTGTAGAAACCCACTGGGTAATCTTGGGCAAGTCATACTCTGTCAACCTTAGATGAATAAATCTTGTCAAGAAAGTCCTATGATGGGGCCATCATAAATGAGAGCCTATTCAAAGGCACATAGTAGCCTCCCAGAAAAGTATTCAGGTGGTTCAAACTTCATGGCCAAGCTGAGGCTTTGCTGTTGGCCAGCTTGATTAGCATTTAATGGCCTTGCAGCTTCACAGTCTGGCTAATTGCTACTTGGGGGAATTGTTGATTGGGTTTGCGGATAACTAGGATATCTAGAAATGGCTGTTTTCCTTCATTTTCTTTTTCCATGGTGAATTGGATGTTTGGGTGAATGCTGTTGAGGTGGTCCAGGAACTTGAGTTCTTCTCCATGGCGCCAAATGGTGAAGGTGTCATCCACATATCTGAACAATGTAGCGGGCTTTTTTGTTGCTATTTCCAGGGCTTGATTTTCAAAGTGTTTCATGTAGAAATTTGCTATGACAGGGCTGAGAGGACTTCACCATAGCTACTCCATCTTTCTGTTAATGCAACATTCTTCAGAAAGGCTGACAGCATTTAGGAAAAAAGAGTTCAAGCAGTGTAAAAGATAACTCACAGAAAGCAATGGTAAGGACTTACAAGTATGCTTCTTATATGTAAATTTGCTTAGAACCAAGGCACTGTACAACCTTCACATCTACAAAAATTTAAAGAAAAACTGAGTACAAATATGCGAGTACTAAAAGTGTCATTGTAGGTCTCTTGGTGCTTTGCTGGAATAGACAAGCAGTGCTATACCTTTGAAAACAAAATTGAAATGACGCTTGTGATTTTTTAATTCAGAACATTTTGTTCGGCCTCAACTTGTTCCTCTGTTGGTCATAACTGGCTCTGATCTTTGGTTTCTTTTCTCAAAACATATGGTACAAATCCATCTACAAAGTTTCAAAAATACATTCACATTTGTTTTCAAGAGAACTCATACCTGTTTCCAGACAAGGTAATAGCACAGAGAGTCCCACGCTCTACCTCAGGAAGACCACAAGACGGCACTATAACCCCTGGGAGCATTAGATCTGTAGAAAAACATATTACAGGCAGTCCCTGAGTTATAAACATCCAACTTACCAATGACTCATAGTTAAGAATGGGGTGAGATGACAGATACATTGACTCCTCAGAAGAGAAATTCACTAATGAGTTATCATGGGGAAAAGGTGTCTCAGCTGAAGCTTTCTTACTAATCCTTGTTTCCACAAAAAGCCACATTTTTCAAAAACCAAGTATCACAGGAAGTGAGGTGAAATTTTCTGAATTGGGAAAAAGGCCGCAAAATAAACATCACAGGGGCGTTAACTCTTCCCTATGCTATCCAAAGTAGATACTCCAGCTACACAAAGCTGGAGTTACACTTAAAAATGTACCTGTTTCGATGTACATCAAAATTGAACTTAAGAAAAGCCTACAAAGTCTATCTTGTCCATAACTTGGGGATTACCTATAGTTAGGAACTCAGCTATTTTTTTCAGTCATTCCCTTTTCTTCCATTCTTGGCATTTAAAAAAAGGAAAGGAAAAAGTAGAGGAAAAAATACATTCCAGATCAAGCATAATTATTATGAATATCATCTTTATTTATATAATACGTTTTTACAAGACTGGGATTCAAAATGGTTTAGAAATAAAAATAATTACCATATTGTTAAAAACACAAAAACAATATTGAAACAGAATTATACTACCAATACAATTAAAATAATTGAAAACATACACATAAGAGAAAAAGTAATTAGAATGGTACAGTTTAAACGAATATTGCACTCTATTGCCCTTTCCTTAAAAACCTTTGCACTGAAAAGCCTGTAAGAGTGAAAAGTCCTCACATACCAAAAGAAGAATGACAAGAAGAGAGCCATTCTAACTTCCCATGGGAAAGAGTTGCAAAGCCTGCAGACAGCCATTGAAAAGGCCCTATCTTATGTCCCCAACAATTTTATCTGTGAAAATTGTGGGACTTAAAGAAGAAAGGAATCTTAAAGTACAGATAAGCTTATATGATGACATATCTTCTATCAGATTTCCCTTCAGGAAAATATATCACATCCAACTATGGGATACAATGCAGACTCTTCCATGAGGATTTTAGCTTCACTTTCTTACCTGCTCCTCCGGCTAGTTTATGCAACACGGGAGGCCATGTGGAAAAGGCGGGGAGAAAGTGAGGATACAACCACAGAGTGTACACTGTCCAAAAGAGAGAGAAAAAAATACTTTCTGTATTACTCAAGCAGTTACACATAGAAACATAGAGCTGGAAGAGACCACAAGGCCCATCCAGTTCAACTGACTGCCATGCAGGAACACACAATAATTCCAACAAATGACTATCAAGCCTCTGCTTAAAAACCACCAGAGAATCCCTTGTCTTTATTTCTCCCACATTTCTCAGAATATAACAAATAACTAATGGAGTCTTAAGAAGGTTGCTATTTCCAACAAATACTCATTACACTGTATAGATACAGAAAGGATGCTTAAAGTTATGCTGCAATTAATCACAAGTGAAACCCAATTAAAACTTTCTCAGAATAACAAACTGCTCATTCAAATATCTTTCCATACCTGTGGGATACAGGATCTTCTCCATTTCAAAAAGGACAGGATTCTTGCCATTGGCGTAGACTGTGACAGCATCTCCTTTGTGAGCATACAGTTTAACAACATTCAGTTCTTCCTTATTTGGCACAATCTCAGATAACTGTTCAGAAGTCAGGGACGGAAATGCTGCAGCAACATCACTTCGCAGTTTCCTCCTGCAAAAGTCAATCACACCTGTGTTATTACACACATCACCTGAAGTAGTCTCGTCTGAAAATTCCACCCACTTCATTTTGTCCTTAGTCCACATAACTTTCCTGCATTAGCTGTGTGGTCCCCAACACCAGGAAGGGAAATTACTTTTTAAATAGGTTGCAGTAAAATAGGTATTGCTCAACATTTTACAATACCCATTGTTCAAAAACAGAACTAGACTCCTATTTATTTCCAGTAAATAGGATCACAGGATCCTAAGGCAGAAAATTTTCCCCCAAATCTCAACATAATTTGGCATGGAAGATCTAGAAACGGTGTTTATGTGCTGAAGCGGGGGGGGGGGGGGGGGGGAGAGAGAGAGAGAGAGAGAGAGAGAGAGAGAGAGAGAGAGAGAGAGAGAGCAAAGCTTATTGTGAAGGATACAATAATATTTGGCTCACTTCACATCATGTATTTCTTCCACATATGTGGAGCTTGTTTCCAAAAGGTACCAAATCCTTCTGAATACAGGAATTGGGGGGGGGGGGGGGGGCGCGCCTGCTGAGGACATGCATCCTTTTGCTTTAAAATGCAATTTTTCCAAGCCCTGTACTGAAGTGATTTGATACATTTTGACAGTTTTGATCTGTACACAATATTCTACTCCTAACCAACAACTCATTTTTTATTTTTTTTATAGATTTGGTATCTTTTGGAAACAAACTCCACATGTAGGTATGGCATCTGGGGTGGCTAAAGTGTAGCTTTTACAGCTATGCCTGGTGAGAGGAGAAGAATTAAGTATAGGAGAATGTGAATCTACGACCTAAATGTTACAACCCTAATTATTTGCATATTTTAACTTGACTGTAGAAAATATAAAACACTATAAACTGATAAACCGATTTTTTTTTTTTGCTCAAACATAACAACTGGCTAAAGTTCTGTGAAAGCGCATTCCAACTATAAGAGCTAAAAATCCAAAGATGCTATGGAGGTTTATTTCCATCTAGAATAACGGCGTTTTGAAATTAGTGTTTGATGAGCTGATTAGTATAGATAAAATACTAATATTTTATCTATTATCACCAGATGTGCAAAATTATGAGGATACAAGAACTGAAATAGACAATGCATCTACACTATAGAATGAATGCAGCTTGACATCACTTGAACTGCTGTGGCTTAAAGCGATGGAATCCTAGGAGTTGTACTTTGGGGAGATGTCAGCCCTCCTTGACAGAGAAGGCTTAAGATCTTGTAAAGCTACAACTCCCAGGATTCCATAGCATTGGGCCATGGCAGTTCAAGTGATGACAAACTGCATTCATACTACAGTATAGATGTACCTAGAGAGGCTGACTAGTGTCACTTAATTGCCTCGATCACACTTTAACAGTCATAAACAGAGGTTTGGTAAAATTAAACATTGTTTCATGTTAAAAGAAAAATTTAAAGCCCCCTCCACATATCTAAAGCTGGATCTACACTACATAATAATGCAGCTTAACTGCCTTGAGCTGAATTATGTGTCTCTACACTGCCACACAATCCAGTTCAATTCAGTTAAATTCCATTCTCAAACTGCATGATATGGTAGTGTAGACCCAGCCTGAGTCAGAAGATTGTTCATCATAACTTTACATTACTGTCATGACAAATTACGACAAACTTTGCATTTCAAGTAACATGTGGTTTGCATTTATGTTCAGGAAGGCATTAACTTGCAATGCTGTTTTCAAAATACACCTTCCTCTTCAATATACAGGAATTTATGTTTTGATGTGTGCTCTCCCCAGCTGTTTTCCACCTAGAGTAAAGTTTCCATGTAAATCCTCATTAGGTGAGGTGTGAAAATAATCCATTATATCATGAACCGGCCTTAAAGATGTTGGGCCCTTCCAAACAGCCATATAACCCAGAATATCAAAGTAGAAAATCCCACAATATCTGCTTTGAACTGAGTTATCTGAGTCCACACTGCCATATATTGTCCTAGGAGTACACTCCCCACCCTTGTACGAAGGTCAGTCTATCACCCTGTCTCTCCATGGGTTCTCACTCATAAATAATTCTGCTCCTTTATCTCATCCTGAGTTTTGAAATCATTTTATGTACATGCCGCCTGCTCACTGTTATTATGTTTGGTTTTCTGTGGGGTTTTTTTAATGTTTTTTGTATATTGCTTATTGTATTCTTATGTTTTGTACTTTATTGCAATATTGTTATTTTGTTGTAAGTTGTATTTTATTGTAATTTGTTGTTTGGGCTTGGCCTCATGTAAGCTGCTCCGAGTCCCTGTTGAGGGAGATGGTGGCGGGGTATAAATAAAGATTATTATTATTATATTCCAACTCAAAGCTGAAAATGTGGGATTTTATTCAGTGATGTGGAAGAGGCCCAAGGTGAAACACCTGAGGTGCATCTACACCAGGTCTGGGCAAGCTTGGGCCCTTCAGGTGGTTTGGACTTCAACTCCCACAATTCCTTACAGCTTCAGGCCCCTTCCTTTTCCCCCTCCGCCGCTTAAGCCCAAACTTGGAGGGCCCAAGTTTGGCCATGCCTGATTTACACTCTGGAATTAATGCAGCTGCATGGCTCAATGCTATAGAATTTCGGGAGTTGTAGTTTTACAAGGTCTTGAGCCTTCTCTGCCCAAGGTTGCTGGCTCCTCACCAAACTATAAGTACCAGGATTCCATAGCAACTGAGCCATGGCAGTTAGAGTCGTGTCGAACTGCATTCATCCTGTAGTGTGGATGCACCCCTAGTATTAAAGGAATGGGGAGAGAGAGCTCACCTGTCTGAGCCTTTGATCGCCGTGTTGGATTTCACCCTGAAGGCTTTGGCGAACATGGTCAGAACTCAAGGCTTCCAGGGGCCAGAAGCGAAGACAGGCAGGAATTTTAGGAACTGGAGACCAGCATCTGTTGGTTCAATGGGAAAGACTCAGCTGGGTCTTCTTCCCTCACTGCCTGGGCGCCTCCACAAAATCAGTCCGGGCAGCAACAAGCAGGAACTCTCTCGCAACTGCAGCTGGGACTTCCTGCTTTGGTGACGTAACGAGCAAAGCCGGCGCGTGATTGGCTGCGGTTCCTGTGTGTCTGTGGGAAGGGGTCTGCCTCGCTCTTAAAGGCTGCATTCATTCTACAGTGTAGATCAGGCCTGGCCAACCTTCGGCCCTCCAGGTGTTTTGGCCTCCAATTCCCACATTTCCTAACAGCCCGTAGGTAGGCTGTTAGGAATTGTGGGAGTTGAAGTCCAAAACCCCTGGAGGGCCGAAGTTTGCTCAGGCCTGATCTACACTGTAGAATGAATGCAGCCTTTAAGAGCTAATAGATGCTCCCTTATTAAATCAGGATGCATATTTAAAGTGATTAAGGGCCCTTCCACACAGCCCTATATCCCAGAATATCAAGGCAGAAAATTACTCTGGTGATGTACAATATAGTGAGATGAGAAGTGGCTATGACAATATTAGCTTGGATCTACAGTGTTCGAAAACTCAGATACTTCACAAGTCTTTGGGTGGTAAAGTGTAAGCTAAGGTGAAGCCTACATATATAGGAACGGGGCATGATTTGTCAAGGAGTGTCACCCTGGGAGAAAGGCAGGATATAAAGTGATAGAAGGGTGGAATGAGGATTTCACAAGGGATTACTTCACACAATAAAGAGCATGATTTTAGATTGAGGTTCTTGTTATTGCCTTCCTTCTGGGTCAGCATCCTCGCACAGTCTAGCACACTTGGGGCATTTCAACCCCTCCTTGAAATGTGTTTGGTTAAAAAAGAAACTTTGTTTACTTATAAATTGGTTAACCAGTTAAAATTCATGAGTAAACCAGGCTCTGGTGAGTGAGCAAACTGGTTCTTAAACCGAGGATCCCAATCCCAAATAAGAGTCCCCTTAGTTCAATAAGAGGGTCCCAAAAAATTGGCCAACAACAGAAATTTTCTGAACATCAACTACTGGCTTTTTTTAGACATTTACATGAATCTGCTGTGCAGTGTTTATAGCAGACTCTGTAGAAGATACTTCAGCTGTACTTCATAAAAAGGAAAATCAACATGTTTAGCAAGCCTTACAGACGCTGATTTGTTATCAGTCAATGACTGATTTTTATACGTATTTTGTATACCCAGGGTCATAATTTAGGAAGCCCTGCTCTAGCAGAGACCAGGGGTGCCTCTCCAATGTTGAACCACACTACAAGATTATGGAGCCATCATTCCATTTTACCTGCCCTGATTCCATCCTATGGGGTCCTGGAATTGATGGTTTGTTGAGGCAATGGAGGACTTTGGCCTGGGACGGCTTAATGTTTCCCTAAACTGCCAGTCCCAGGATCCCGTGGGATGGAACCATAGCGGCTAAAGTGGAAAAATGAATAAAACTCTGTAGTGATAATGGGTCCTTGGTCTCTGCTGAAGTGGGCAGTACATCAAAGGAGAAGGGAGGCAAAGATAGATCAGATTAATGTCTTCTCCTCAGTCTAAAATAAGTTACTGGTGGGGTGCCTCTAGGCACAGTGGTTCTCAACCTGTGGGTCCCCAGATATTTTGACCATCAACTCCTAGAAATCCTAACAGCTGGTAAACTGGCTGGGACTTCTGGGAGTTGTAGGCCAAAACACCGGGGGACCCATAGGTTGAGAGCCACTGCCTAGGGCCATGATGGTGAACCTATGACACGCGTGCCAGCACTGACACGCATTGCTATTTTTGATGACATGCAGACAAATGCGGCCACATACAAAGAAATACACCTTATAAGAGCCAATTTAATTCCATCCTTAAATTTGTAAAAGGCTCTACAAATTTAACATCTGCATGTTTGAGCATTGTTCAAACATAACTCAGCATGGATTATACATTTTTCTTATTTAAACTATAAATATTGCAAAGTTATGGTTTTTTTCTCAAAGTTACACTCCACCCAAGTTATGCTCAGGTTTTTGGCAAATTTTGACACACCAAGCTCAAAAGGTTGCCCATCACTGGCCTAGGGTCTGTCCTGGACCCAAAGTTTAACATATTTATAAATTACTTAGATAATGGAATAGAAGTCATACTCACTAAATTTGAGGATGACACTAAAATAGAGGGGGTAGTTAGCATCCCAGAAGGGAGGATGAGCATTTGAAATTATCTTGGCAGGTAAGAGAGATGGGCCAAAACTAGGAGCTGACAGTATGATTTGGTGGCTTAAAAAACCAATGCAATTCTGGACATTAATGTGAGTATGGTGTCCATATGGAGGGAAATAGTGCCATTCTAATCATGTAGTGTATCCAGTCTGGGCACCACAGCTCAAGAAAGATGTTAATAAGATGGAATGTATCCAGAGAAGAGCGACTCAAATGATTAAAAGTCTGGAAACCAAGCCTTATGAGGAACAATTTAGGGAGCTAACTTTGCTTTGCTTGGAGAAGAGTAAGATAGTAACTGTCTTTAAATATCCTGAGGGATGTCATGTAGAAAGATCAAGAGAGCTTGTTTTGTTCCAAATGCTACAGTGAACCAATGGTTTCAAATTACAAGAAAAAAAATTCTACTAAACATTAGGAAAAACTTATTTGCTGCAAAAATTGTTCAACAGTGAAACAGACTGTCTCATAGGATTCTCCACTTTTGGAGGTCTTTAAACAGAAGTTGGGTGGCCATTTTTCAGGAGGAATACTTTAATTATATGGTGCTGGGCATAATGGGAGGAGAGGTATATTAGTTGGCTGTTCCAACTGTAAGATTCTATGTTTTGTGAGAACCACCATCCCGCAATTATCCTCCAATAGAATCCCTGCTCCATTTAAGTCTTTCTATATATGGATACTGCACAGTAACATAAAATCTCTCTAAACATAATTTCAAAGAATTATTTTTCTTTGCCTTAAATTCGGGGATTCCAAAGTTGTAGCCCATGCACTAAATTGCTTTGTATAGCTTTTGTTGTTTTTTAACATATCAATTTTTAATTTTGACTTTAAAAAAATGTCCACAGTTTGCTCAAAATTTGAAAACTGTTTTCAAAAGCTGTAAGATACTCCATAATTTCCAAATTGGATGAATTCAACAGGAATTAGCAGATTGTTTGACATATGTGTTGCTCCCTTCCCCGCACAGATCCTGAACATAATCTAAAATATTAAAGGCTAGCTGGAAGGTTGTCCTTAATACCCCAAGGCATCAGATCCCATCTGATCTTGGAAGCCAAGCAGGATTTAGGATCGCTTAGGACTTGTATGAAAGACTGACAATGAACACCAGGTGCAGTAGGATATATTTTGGACTAAAAAGAACAGGCAAAACCACCTCTGACTATTCCCTGCCTGAGAAAACCCTATGAAATTTATGGGATCACCAGAAGTTGGCAGACGACTTGCAGGCTTGTCTTCATTCTTTTGTTCTCCTTCAACTAAATAATGTAATGCAGCATTTATGCCTCAAAGGAATTCAGTAGGGATGTTATTCTTGTTTACAGCACCAGATGGCTCTCGATTTGCATCAGCAAAACGATGTATGGTATATGTCTGAGAAGCAAATTCACATATTTAATTATAGGTCTTATTCATAAACAGTTTCATACAAGGCAGGTAATTGCCTGTTTATGTTGTTACCTGTTATCACTTGAGGAGGTTTCTAATGATTATGTAACACATTTTTTGTTCCTGGGTTATTTATTCTATCATAAAATCATGGAAAAGGTATATCAGGACATCCTGCAGCACATTTTGTTATAGGTTTTCAATGAATATCTCATACAGTCTCAACCAATTCAACTTAGTTTGTGGCAACCACAAAAACGAAGTTTCTGAAGGATAGCAACTACTTTCAAAGTAAGTTCTGCACAATTAAACAGGAAATAACACTTTCCAACCAGAAACAGAAAAAAAATCCAAATTTTGTTACATAGTGTTATTAATGTCGTATATAAAAGGCATCACTGAACTGCATAAGGCAATGGGAGTGCTGAACAAAAGGAGGTAAGCTCTTCCAATAGAAGGATGTAAACAGTGCACTATCTCTGCCTAAAATGTTTCATTCAAGATAAAAGCAATGTTGTCAGTTCTGAATACTAAGTCAATTTTTATATGTGATAATAACCATACACACACACACTCCAAAAAGCCCTTGTGTAACAAAATTTTATATAGAGCAGAGAAATCATATGTATCTGAGATTTTTCTCTAAAAATTAAAAAGCTTGTCCTAGTTATATAAAGACTATCTGCATTCATTATACTTTTCTTTACTGGCAGTGGATTAAGAGCAACTCACTTATTTGTCTAAAACGCTAGAATCTATAGTACGAAGGTTTGCACAACCTACTTTGCTGGGTTTTTTTTTTTTTTGTTAGAGAGCGGAAATATTCCAGTTGGAGACATATATAAAATACTCAATTTCTCCATTTGCGCATTTACATACATGCCATACATTTTTTTAAAAACAGGATATATTTCAGTTTTGCCTTTTACTTTCAGTGCTAGAACGTTACACTCAAATTTTCCAAATTAACATCTTCACCTAGACTTTTTCCAGTTGCTGTATTTAAGAAGTGATGAGAACCCTTGTTACTGCTATTGTTTGTTTTATTAATATTATCCAGAAGCCTGTCAATACATCATGCTGCCTTCCCTAACCTGGTCTTCCCCAAATGTGTTATACTATAACTTCTCTTACTTGCAGACAAAATGACTGTCAGCTATACAATATTTATTTTAAACAAAGCTTAGTTGCAATTATTTACATCCTAACCTAGAAGTATACCCACTGAACTCAGTTCTCAGTAGGCACTGGAAATCAATATAATTTTAACTGATTGGTTGGTTAATTATAAATATATAGGATAAATATATCCGAGTTAATCCTGTTCATAACTGCGTTTACTAGATGGTGCCTTTTACTGACACATTTTCCTTGTACTGAGTTTTCTAAGTCTGTTTATCGAACATCAGACCCCTTCATGACTTATTTTTCATAACTTACTGTCACAAGTCTGTTATATCAAACAGCAAAGTCCCTCATAACTTACATAAACTTATTTTGTAATCCTGAGTTTCTTGGACCATGGCCACCGCAATGCTAGCAAACCAACACAATGTTTGTTACCATGTACTGAATTTTTAGTTCATGTTCTTCTTCAGACAGTTTTTTCCACACAAATCTCGTTTTTTCAAGATACCGCCTTTTGAAGTGAATAGCTTCTATTTTCTCTTGTTTTATCCCCATTTATTTATAAGATACTTCTGGTTTACAAAAATGATGCATTGAAATTATTAGCAGCTTTTATGATTCTCGCTGTCCTCAAAACAGGTTTTATTGAACTTTAACAATTTGAGAATTTAGAATTTCAGGTTCACAGCTTGGGGGTGATCCTAGACTCATAGCTGAGCCTGGAACCCCAGGTCTTTGCGGTGGCTAGGGAGCCTTTGCATAATTAAAAATTGTGCACCAGTTGCACCTGTACCTTGGGAAGTCAGACTTGGCCACGGTGGTCCACGCTCACGTTACATCCCAAATAGATTACAGAAACACACTCTACATGGGGTTGCCTTTAAAGACTGTTCAGAAGCTCCAAATAGTCCAATGGACGGCAGCTAGGTTGCTCACTGGAGTGGCATACAGAGAGCATACAACCCTTCTGCTATGCTAGCTCCACTGGTTGCCAATCTGCTATCAAGCATAAGTGCTGGCTTTAGCCTATAAAGCCCTGAAAGGTTTTGGCCCAGCTTACCTGTCTGAACGTTTCTCCTGCTAAGAACTATTGCGAAGTCTAAGATCGACGGGAGAGGCCCTGCTCTCAGTCCCACCATCCTCACAAGCGCGATTGGTGTAGATGAGAGACGGGGCCTTCTCAGTGGTGGTCCCTCACCTGTGGAACTTTCTACCCAGGCATCCTCAAACTGCGGTCCTCCAGGGTCTCCAACTCTGAGAAGCCCTAACAAGCTTATTCAATTGTCAGGAATTCTGGGAAGTGAAGGCCCAAACAGCTGGAGGACCAAAGTTTGAGGATGCCTGCTCTACCCAGTGACATTAGAAGGGCCCTTCCCTCTTTTCCTTTAGAATGAAACCCAAAACCTGATTATGAGACCAAGTGTTCAAACAGTAGGGGCAGCAATTTAGAATGAGACCCAATTTGTGTGAATCACAATGGACTGACCTGGACTAGGTTTTCAAACCTGCGTGATTTAAACAATGTTTTAGTAATGTTATGTTGGACACAATACACCTATAAGGTCAATGAGTGACCAGTAGTCATAAAAACACTGAAAAACACAACAGAAGGGACTTAAACGGCCAAAACCCCCAAAATTACATTACAACACATGCACAAAACCACACATATATACGCAAACGCATATATACACAAACGCATATATACACATAGGTAAAGCTCTATATGGTTCTAGCCCAGCTTACTTGTCCGAACGCATCTCCCACTACGTCCTGCCTTGCAGTTTAAGATTATCTGGGGAGACCCTGCTCTCGCTCCCGCAAGCGTCACAAATATGTTTAGCGGGGACGAGAGACAGGGTCTTCTCAGCTGTACCCCCCACCTATGGAACTCGCTTCCCAACGAGGTAAGATTGGCTTCATCCCTCCTGTCTTTTAGGAAGAAATTGAAGTCGTGGTTCTGGGACCAGGCTTTTGGACAGCAGGCATAAATAGCGCTTTGGGTATGGAATTTGACTGGAATGGTGCTACAGCAGTTAATGCTGTTTTTATTGTTTTAATTAATGTTCTATTTATTGTTTTAATTGTTGTTATATTGCTTTGTTATATTTAATGACATCAAATTGTGCCAAATGTAAGTAATCCTGAGTCCCCCTTCGGGGGTTGAGAAGGACAGGGTAGAAATGCTGGAAATAAATAAATGAATAAATAAAGGTTTTTCCCTCACATTAAGTCCAGTCATGTCCAACTTTGGAGGTTCGTGCTCATTTCCATATGTGTATATACACATATACACGCACAACACACATATACACAGACTGGGCCACAACAACACGTGGCAGGGGATGGCTAGTAGTATATATGTATGATACTTCATTATCAGACCTGGGCAAACTTGGGCCCTCCAGGTATTTTGGACTTCATCTGTCCGATAGATGATTTCCACTCCGGTGGGAAGCTTCCCATCAACAAGATGAAGTATCATAGCGATGGAGATGGAGATGAAAGCCTAAATTAAGGTTACAACAACATCTGTTATAGAACTCCAGTATGCTGATGACAACGTCGTCTGTGCGCATTCAGAAGAAGACCTAAAAGCCACTCTAAAAACCTTTGCAGAAGCATACGAGACGCTCGGACTGTCATTGAACATCGAGAAAACCAAAGTCCAGCAGTCACCAGCCAACCCCTCTCCAATGCCAGAGATACAGCTTAATGGTGTAACATTTGAAAATGTTGACCATTTCCGCTACCTTGGCAGCTACCTCTCCACCAAAGTCAACATCGACACTGAGATACAACACTGCCTGAGCTCTGTGAGTGCAGCATTTTTGCGAATGGAGCAGAGAGTGTTTGAGAACCAGGAGATCTGTAGGGATACCAAGGTGCTTGTTTATAAAGCTATTGTCCTCCCAACCCTGTTATATGCCTGTGACTGTCTACAGATGTCACATGCAACTTCTGGAACGATTCCATCAGCGCTGCCTCCGGAAATCCTGCAAATCTCTTGGGAAGACAAGCGGACAAATGTCAGCATGCTGGAAGACGCAAAGACCACCAGCATCAAGGGAACCACTGACCGCATAGGGAAGCTGATGAGGAAACACAACATACAAACTATCTACAGACCCACCAAGAAAATCCAATAAATGCTACGTTCAGCAAAGGACAAGAGGGATCCTCTCACTTCTGCAGGAGTCTACCGTATACCATGCAGCTGTGGACAAGTCTACATAGGGACCACCAAACACGAATCAAGGAACATGAAAGGCACTGCAGACTACTTCAACCAGAGAAGTCAGCCATAGCAGAGCACCTGATGAACCAACCTGGACACAGCATATTATTTGAGAACACAGAAATGCTGGACCACTCTCACAACCACCATGTCAGACTACACAGAGAAGCCATTGAAATCCACAAGCATGTGGACAATTTCAACAGAAAGGAGGAAACCATGAAAATGAACAAAATCTGACTACCAGTATTTAAAAACTCTAAAATTACAACAGCAAAACAACATAGAGGAAACAATCTGGGACATCTAATCACCTCTCAACAAAAGATTGCCTCAGGCACTGCCAGGCCATCAAATGCCATCAAATAGGAGGGCAACTAAAATGATCAAGGGTCTGGAGAACAAGCCCTATGAGGAGCAGCTTAAGGAGCTGGGCATGTTTAGCCTGAAGAAGAGAAGGTTGAGAGGAGATATGATAGCCATGTATTATTATTATTAGTGTCAGGAGCAACTTGAGAAACTGCAGGTCGCTTCTGGTGTGAGAGAATTGGCCACCTGCAAGGATGTTGCCCAGGAGATGCCCGGATGATTTGATGTTTTTATCATCCTTGTGGGAGGCTTCTCTCATGCATGAGGAGCTGGAGCTGATAGAGGGAGCTCATCCACCTCTCCCTGGATTCGAACCTGCGACCTGTCGGTCTTCAGTCCCACTTTAACCCACTGTGCCACCGGGGGCTCCTTGATAGCCATGTATAAATATGTGAGAGGAAGCCACAGGGAGGAGGGAGCGTGCTTATTTTCTGCTTCCCTGGAGACTAGGACGCGAAACAATGGCTTCAAACTACAAGAAAGGAGATTCCATCTGAACATGAGGAAGAACTTCCTGAGTGTGAGAGCCGATCAGCAGTGGAACTCTCTGCCCCAGAGTGTGGTGGAGGCTCCTTCTTTGGAAGCTTTTAAACAGAGGCTGGATGGCCATCTGTCAGGGGTGATTTGAATGCAATATTCCTGCTTCTTGGCAGGGGGTTGAACTGGATGGTCCATCATAGAATCCAACTCTTGGATTCTATGATTCTATGCTAATCAAGGTAGTCGGTTGAAACATTCACACCTAGCTCCAGCAGACAAGAGTCCTTTGTCCCACCCTGGTCATTCCAGATATATAAACCCCTTTTTCCTATTTCCAACAGACCTCACTACCTCTGAGGATGCTTGCCATAGATGCAGGCGAAACGTCAGGAGAGAATGCCTCTAGAACATGGCCATATAGCCCGAAAAAACCTACAACAACCCGGCCTGACGCTGTTAGGAATGATGGGAGTTGGTCCAATACACCTGGAAGGAGGGCCCAAGTTGGCCCAGGCCTGATATAGAGGCATATGACTACAGTTACAACGGACAGTTTCTTGTGTACGTGTTGAAAAGCCCTCTTCCGCCATGACCCCATTCCAGGTCAAAGGGAATCTCATTCTATTCTCTCACCAAGTCCTCGAAGGACCTGCCTGCACGAAAGGGCCGGCCTCTGGTCCCCACTCATCATCATCATCCCCCCGCCTCCCTCCACCGCGCATGCGCTTAGCGACCCAAGCAGCCGTCACCATAGCAACCGCGCCCTGAGCCCCGCCCGCTCTCTCCCTCTCTCTGGCGGGCCTGGCTCCCTTCTCAGAACGAAGGCGGCGGCGGCGGAGCGAGGGCCCGCGGGAGAGCGGCGGCGGAGGAGGAGCGGAGGTCCCCGGCGAGGGTGATGGGGCGTGCGGCCCGCGGGCTTCCCCCTCGCCCCCTTCGTCGCCATGATGTTGTTGAGCCGGAAGCCGGAGGGGCCCCTCGCCGCAGGTATGCCTGGCCTGGATTGGGCGCTGGAAGGGAGCGCGGGAGCCTCGTGGGCTCACCTTGGAACCTCTTCTCCTGCACCTCCCCCCCACATCCCTCTTTGTAAAGTGGTACATTCCACTTCCTAAGCGGCGCAATGGCGGGAGGGCCTTTCCATTCAGCTCGGAAAGGGGGGGGGGGATCCGTTCCCAATATACACAAAGGGAAGATGTAGGAGGCCACAGAGAGAGGTTGACCCTCAATGAGTGGATGTTGAATTTGCATGGAGGACCATAGCCTCGTGGGAAGAGGGGGAGGGGGACTGACACGTGTATTTGTAATTATTCCAGGCCCAGGTTTCCTCAAGAGGATTGCTGGGCCACGTGTCTATGGTTGGAGCTAAACCAAGCATGAGCAAACTTGGGCCCTCCAAGTGTTTTGGACTACAACTCCCACAATTCCTAACAGCCGGTAGGCTGTTAGGAATTGTGGAAGTTGTAGTCCAAAACACTTGGAGGGCCCAAGTTGGCCCAAGCCTGATCTAAACTGCCATATAATGCAGTGTCAATGCAGTCTTCGTGGGGAGGGAGTTGTTGGAAGGGACTTTAGTCCGGATTTCTTCAAAAATTAGCCTTGGGCCACATTTAGACTGCTATATAATGCAGTTCAGCTGCATTTGAGCCTGCATTATATGAGTTTTCGCTTACATGATGCAGTTCTATCTTCATTATTTGGCAGTGTGGATGGGGCCTTGGTTGGAATATAATAATAATAATATTATCATCATCATCATCTTTATTTATATCCTTCATTCTTACAAAGTGACCCAAAAATTAAAATACAGTGAAATACAAAATAAAATCACCAGCAACCAAAATAATACAAAATATAATAAGCAGTCAATAAAACAAACTTAAATCAACATTAAAAAAAAACGAACAGTAAGCTTTGTGGTGTCTTGTCATGTTATTATTACCATCATCTTTATTTATATCCCACCCTTCATTCTTACAAAGTGACCCAAAGTGAAATACAAAACAAAATCAGCAGCAACCAAAATAATACAAAATACAATAAGCAGTCAGTAAAACAAATCAACATTTTTTTTAAAAAAAGTAAACATTATTGTCTTGTCAGAACTTATGTTTTTAAATGCTTAATATGTATTAAATTTAATTTTAATGGTATTGGAATTGTATGTGTATTAAATATGCATATTGTTTTGAATGGTCTTTTATATAATGTAAGCTGCTTTGGGTCCCGTTTAGGGAGAAAAGTGGGATATAAATAATTATTTATTATTATTACTGTTATTATTTGATACATAACAAGATTAGTACACAGGATACAAGATCATGCTGGGCTTTGTACTTGATCACACGTTGGACACTTTCCAAACTGTTGTTATTGTTGTTGATGTTGTTGTTACTATTTTTGAATATGTTGTTGTTATTATTAAATAATTGCCTATGTATGTAAGCTGCCTTGAGTCCCCTTCGGGGTAGAGAATAGAGTAAATAAATCAATAAATATAGCACTTTTTTGCTTCTTGCACTTCACATAGTCCAATGAGGATTGTACCTTCTCATCTAATGTTTGCTTGAATAAGGCCCCTTCCACATAGTTGAATAAAACCCCACATTATCCACTTCGAACTGGAATATATGGCAGTGTGGACTCAGATAACCCAGTTCAAATCAGATATTGTGGGATTTTCTGCCTTGATATTCTGAGCTGCATGGCTGTGTGGAAGGGCCCAAAGAAGGGACAGTAATTCGGATTTCTTGGCTTTGCTTGGAGCCCCTCCCGAAAAATACTCCATAAACGTGGTGAAAATTGGTGCCTTTCATCACCCGTCTACATTGGCCGTTTAATGCAGTTTGAAACCGGTATTGAAGGCAGTGTTTCCGCTGTGGAAGCCGCAGTTGGGAGCTAGCGTCGAACTGCATTAAATGGTCGGTGTAGACGAGGCCTTAATAGGGGAGGATGAGAGTCCTGGGCAGATCTTTCCAGGGCGGCTTTCTTGGGAGGCCAATGGAAACCTCGCCTTGGCCAGAGAGGCTTTTGAAAAACAACAGCAGCAGCAGCAGCAAAGCCACCGGCGCCCCATTTTAACGGCTCGCTTGGCCTCAGGAGGCTTGAAAGGGGCTGCCTTGGGGGGCTCACCATGGCAAACGACGTTACTCTCCATTGTCTCGCCCCGTTTTTATTTTGTAAGAGTTGCTTTGTTGCGTTTGTAGCGGGAAGGGAGGGAGGGCCTTGGGTTTGAAATGGTCTTTCTTGGTTTTATTATTATTATTACTTTAGGAGACAAAGCGAGGTGGATTTCTGATCTTGTGGCTGCCAAATTCAGATATAAGGAAAATTCTTTCTTTGGCAGTTCTTTTCTGTTCTGAATTAGTATTGTACAAAACAGCACCCCTCCTTTCCTTGATCAGCAGGAATTGCCATTAAACTGCCTGCGTGCAATCCTTTTTTTTCCTCCAAAAAAGAAGACTGCATTTCTAGACTTGCTCTTCTCCCCCCACAGTATTGCAGATTTTGAGTGTGTCCTTCTATAAAGTGCAGTTCATAAGCACAAGACATTTTCCATAAAGAATGCTTTGTTCTATGCGGCCATCGTTTATGGCTATGTGACATAAGCATAGAGTTCACTTGAGAAGAGTGTAATCTGGTTGGGGTGTAATTAGTTATCTAATTGAGGGTAATCTAGAAACAAACGGGGTAAAAAGAAAATATTTGCATTCCCCTTCTCGAGAAGTGTATTTGGTGTCGAAGGCTTTCATGGCCGGAATCACTGGGTTGTGGTGAGTTTTCCAGGCTGTATCACCGTGTTCCAGAAGCATTCTCTCCTGACATTTCACCCACATCTACAGCAGACATCCTCAGAGGTTGAGAGGGGTCTGTTGAAAACTATCTGTTTGAGGCAGGTGTGAATGTTGTAATTGGTCACCCAGATTAGCATTTAATGGCCTTGCAGCTTGCTGCCTGGCTGTTGTCCTTTGTTGGGAGGTGTTAGCTGGCCTTGATTGTTTCATGTCTGGAATTCCCCTGCTTTTTGGGTGTTGCTCTTTATTTACTGTCCTGATTTTAGAGTTTTTTAAAATATTGGTAGCCAGATTTTGTACATTTTCATAATTTTCTCCTTTGTTGAAATCATTCACATGCTTGTGGATTTCAATGGCTTCTCTGTGTAGTCTGACATGGTAGTTTTTAGAGTGTTCTCAGATAATATGCTGTGTCCAGGTTGGTTCATGAGCTGCTCTGCTATGGCTGATTTCTCAGGTTGAAATAGTTTGCGGTGCCCTTCATGTTCCTTGATTCGTGTTTGGATGCTGTGTTTGGTGGTCCCTAAGTAGACTTTTCCACAGCTGCATGGTACACAGTAGACTCCTGCAGAGAGAAAAAAGATTCCCCCAGGCAGCAACCAGCTGGGCTTTGAAGCTGCAAGGCCATTAAATGCTATATTTCAGAGGAAGGAACTAGCAAAGCCACTTTGGGTCACATTAAATAGACCTGCGACTTGAATGCACATGCATGCATACATTCTCTCCATTTAATAGGCACTGGTTTATGAATGATGGTAGAACCATGTTACAGAAAATATTGCCAATTTTGCTGACCATACTAATATTTTTATCTCATATTTAAATAGCTATTATAGCATCATTTTCCAGCACAACCTCTCTCTCTCTCTCTCTCTCTATCCCTTATCCAGGCTTGGGGAAAAAATCCCTGAGCACATTAATCTAGGATCTTTCTTAGCCCCAATAAGAATTTTGGAGTATTATAGGTTGTAAAATGCTCCATATCTAACAGGGGTATTTATGAATGCAGAATCAAGAGTATTCCATAATACTCAAATACAGAAGGATAAAAAACACATAAGTACACTTTTGTTCTGAGTAGATGCCACCCTTCTTTGATTTTGCAGACAAGCATAGACACAATAACCAATAGAAGTGCTATATATTTGTTGAAGCCCTGTGCTGGAAGGACTGAAGACCGACAGGTCACAGGTTTGAATCCAGGGAGAGGGCGGATGAGCTCCCTCTATCAGCTCCAGCTCCTCATGCGGGGACATGAGAGAAGCCTCCCACAAGGATGGTAACACATCAAAACATCTGGGCGTCCCCTGGGCAACCTCCTTGCAGACGACCAATTCTCACACACCAGAAGCGACTTGCAGTTTCTCAAGTTGCTCCTGACACGACAAAAAAAGAAAAAACCTTTTATCTGTTTCTTAAAATCTGTATGGAAGGGTTGTAAAAGTTGGGGACATTGTTACCAGGAGAAATATAACAATGTCATTAAATGCCTGCAATACTTGTTTTGTATGAATTATGCAACAAAATGTAACTTTGGTGAATAAAAATGTCCTATCTGCCTGGATGAAGATTAAAGTATATTGTTAGACTGAAGATTTCAAGATAAAAAAAATTCAGGGGTGATGATGGAGCTAGTCTGAGAATGTACTGTTTTTAAAATTGCTAATGGGAAATAAATCTTTACCTTAAGACACTGGTGTAAACTCTTCAGAAGTTGTAATAGTTGCTGTGCTTTTTGTGCAAATTTTGTGTATTTCTTAAGAACAAAATGAAAATCATATATATATGACTTGGTGTTAGTTTTGACTGACCATCTTGTTATTTCCAGCCAGGTTTGGAGATGGCTTGTATGATTCCTACATGAGAATAGATCAGATTAGATATTCAGATCCTACAAATGAAGAATGCACTCCTTCTGGACTTCCTTCACTGGGGAGAGCTAATGTAAGTGATTTCAAGCTTTTTATATTCTGTTATCCACAACAGCACAAATAGATGCATTTTATAACTGGATGCTTCAACAAAGCACAATATTAATACAGCTGTATCTATGAAAAAGGCTATAATAATAATAATAAATATTTATATCCTGCTTTTCTCCATAAACGGGACCCAAAGCGGCTTACAATATTATATAAAAGATCATACAAAACAATATGTATATATAAAATAATAACCTGTAAAAACAAATTTACAATAAGAAATAAATAAGCATATTTTAAAACATTTGTCTAATACAATTATTGCAGGCAGCTCTACAATCAGAGTTGAATTGCCTGCAATAATAGTATTAGACAAATGTAACATTAAATATAATGGAGCACTGGCCTAATTCTAGTGCAATGCTAGCAGAGGCATTAGTATTTTGGGTTTTGCTCCTAGCTGCCTCAGAGTCTGCTTAAACCAACACCATTTTTCCCACCATCTACAGCAAGTTTTGGGGCCCATAGAAATCTGTAGTAGTGAGGGGCACAGCTCTGTTAACCTTAATATGCTTATCTTCTTCCTCCTCTCTTATATTGGATTCTATTCTTCAGCAAGTGAAAATTCAGAATTACAGTGCAATGTCTTCTTACTTAATAACATATTGAAAGGGTTGGTACGTGTGTGTTGATGAATAACCCTATTCCTGATTTAACAAGTACAGCTTGACAATACATTTTCCAGGGGGCATTGTGTACGATTCTGTTGGCCATAAAAAGTTTATCTTTTTCCTTCTTCCATTGCTTTATAACCTGAGGGAAGGGTGTCTGGTATTGGAATTTGTTTGGTTGAATTGGCCAGACAGTAACTAGCATTGTTTGGAAAAAGGAAAACAAAAACTTTTCCCATTATCAACTGAATAAAACTAGTAGTTAATCTCCAGATCAAATCCTGGAGGAAAACTAGCATTTTCTGGTAAGACAGCACAATCGATAAGTATCACAAGACTTTTTTTTTGCCAGGCAATATACTTATCACTTTGAAAGTATAATAATATCACTTGTATCTTTTCTTCTTTTTACCCTTTGTGTATAATTTATTTACTACGTATTATGCACATTTTACATAATAAGAGTTGTGATCATAATCTCTTATAGGTCCCTTCCTTCTCCTCACATCGGCCAGCTGAAAAAGCAATGGACATATGAGAAAATTATTTGTACATGAGCTTTGGATTTTCTGAGATGTTCTGTATATAAATGTGTTTTGTAGATAAATACCAATGTATAACAATATTTCAATATTATAATTGTTTTTATTCTCCCCCAGCATATAATAACATGACTGGCATAAGAGTAGTTCTTTTTCTGTGTCTGGTAAGCTTGAACGGTTTTATGTAGGCTGTTGAATAAGAGACAAAGCTAGACTGATTTTTTATTTTTTTAAAAACCTGCCTGAGGGATAAGTAAGAAATGAAGGCAGTGACTGATCATTATGCTCACTGTCTCTTTGGTTTAAAGCAAGAGAGAGAAAGGAAACACTAAAACCACAGCACACATCTGTGGATCACTTGGCTGCTGCATTTGTACTCAGTGCTCACACAGGGGTATTAACAGTGTGCCTATATGTTTCCTGATGCTTGTTTATATGTTTTTGGTAAATAGACAAGTGCCTAATTATATGACTGAACAGGTGGTTCTGTGTTTACATCCTACAATAATTGGTTCAGTGTTATTTTATTTAAAATAAATAATTTCATGTGCTCTAAGGCATTGCTTTAGGAAACACTAGTGCTGTCTGTCATTGGAATGGTATCTTAATCAGTCATATTTTGTGAGCTTTGGAAACTGACTTGGTTTGATTGCAGCAATACATCTAGCTCTGACAAAAATTTTAACTAAGATCCTCTGTGAATATTTTCCAACAACAAGGGAATTGTTTTCTGAGTAAAACCAGAGATTGTATAATCTGAAAACGGGAAGATCTATAACCCTGTCATGAGATGATTTTTATTGGGAACCTGTGGCTTTACCAGGGTACAAAATGGGTTATAATAGGACGATGAGTCTGCAAGGTGAAATCATGGTGTTATCAGCTGGCATCTGACAAATGGAGTTACCAAAATATTCACAAGTAAATATCTCTTAGCTCTTTTTATCAGATATACATTATGCTCACACCTGTTTAGGTTTTTTTTTCAGTGTACACCTGAGGGAACGACGCCATGTTTACCTTTAAATAAGCACCCAACAGAATAGATTTCTAATTTGTGAAATGTATCTGAAAGGATCCTCAGCTCTTGGTAGCCCTTTGCATGCACGTGGGAGTAAGCACCTTTGGATTCAGTGTGGTTCTGAGTAAATATGCGTAGAATCCAACTGTTAAGTTGCCTATCCAGATTCGTAAACTTTTGTGATGTGCCAAATGAAGTAGCTTTGCACAAATAGAATATATGTAAAGTTAAAGATGGTCAACTACATAGGGAGTGGGGTCCATTTTACTTCCCAGAGAATATCCCATGGGCTGCAGCAGCAAGATTCAGAACATCATAAGTGACATGATATCACTTTCAGCTACTGATTTTCTGCCAGTTTTTTTCTTTCTTTGGTGTTTGGGGGAGGTTTTGGTGGCTTTGCAGAGTTAGAAGTAGAAAAGCAGAGCATTTTAAATGCCCAGTAAGGGATAAAAAGTTGTCTGAAAATCAGCCCCCAAATTTAAAAAAAAACGAATTAGGGCTGGGAACTGGAGAGGTCTTTTGGGGCATCACAGTGGCCTCGTTAGAGGTTCCAAGGGCTTCATGTGGCCCAAGGGTTACACTATATCCACCCTTATGTCAAAAAAAAATCAACTATACTGCCATTATTGAAAGTGCAAAATCCAGCAGTTGTTTAAATGTTCTTATAATTTCTTGTTCTATCAGTATAGATTAAATTTTGAGCATGAAGAATCAATACAGAAATCTGGCTAAAGTTAGTGTTTACTGGCAGATCCTTTGGAAGTTATTTCAGCTTTCTTTCTCCTTATCTTAAAATCATTTTTCAAATTCTCCAAAATTAGTTGTGGAATCATGGTGGGCTGGACTGCAGGAGGATAATCTGAATCTGCTAGAGTTTTGTGTTCTGCCATAAGAAGTGCAGTGTTGTATACACTATAAAATGTATATTTGGTTCAAAGTCTAGTATACTGACATAAACAGGCCATTTTGCAACCTATTCAACATTTGCTCTGCAGTGCTCCCTTTTGAACATTCCTGGGAGTAAGTCCCATTGCACTGTGCATTCAGAAGTCTATCTGATCATTATTAAGTGCTATAATGTAGAGGGAGCAGTAGTTTTGTGAGTCCCCTGCTATACTGAGAGCATTCAAAAACTTGAGCTGGTGAACAGTACACACCATTTGTCTTGTCAATCAGTTCTCTTGGCTGCTAACAGCTCGGCTATGGGCTAAATAAACTATGTGGTCCAGTTTTTGCAAGAGGAAGTGTTGGATGCAGTGTGACAAGTTATTCTGAAGTCATCTGATTGGAAATGGAACTTGATGTTAAAATTATGTGGGTCAGTCTGCCAAAAGTAATCTGATCATTATCTAGCTGGTTGCTGTACTTGAGTAATCAGCGACTTCACATCCCTGCTGTTCCAATTCACCCAAGTTCCCAAAATATAAAATTCTAACCAGGTGGGAAACTTATTACAGTGGGAGCATGTACTTCTTAATTTCCCTATAACTTCATTCAGTGTGGGATGAGAAGTTTGAGGCATCCAACAGTCTGTCTAAAGATTTGGAATAAATCCTGTTTACTGGCAGCGTTGCATGAACATCAAGACTAACCTGGCACAACTTCACAGATTGACATGTTACCCAATCAGCATAGGAGCCAAAGTATTAGGTATAGAGCATGTTGGACCGAGAGCAAACCCTGCTTGAATCCATAACATTCTTCAGATGTGGCTTTGGGCCCCTAAGGCAGTGTTAATCACACAAGTTATGTTTAAGCATTTGCAGATTTATGTATATGGAGTTAATGCATATTGCGTTCATGGCTGTGCATGGAAGCATGTTTACTGAAAGCACACATTGCATTCCAAACACATAATTGAAGCATCAAAGGTCTGGCTGAATGGAAAGGGTCTTTGCCTTCCAGCAGAAGGAGAACACCGAGATCCAACTGAATCTTCTATTGAAAGGAACTACACAATTTAGGAACAGTCATTGAGAAGGCCTCTCCTTTGTTTCTACCAAACATGCCTGTGATGGTGGGCAGACTGAGAGGAACCTCTCCCCCGAAGATGTCTATATTTGGGATAGTTTGCATAAGGAAAGACAGTCTTTTAGATAATCGGGACCCAGGGCGTTTAGAAATTTAAAGGTCACAACCAGTTCATCAAATTCTGCCTGAAAACTGAAGAGTGAAGTTGTTTAAACGGGGAGATTATGTTTCTTGGCCCCAGCTAGCAGCCTGGCCCCAGCATTTTAGATCTGCTGAAGTTTCTGAACAGTTTCCAAAGACATCTCCTTGTAGAATGTATTAAAGTAATCCAGATGGGGTGTAATCAAGACACGTGTTACCATAGCCAGATCTGACATCTCCAGGAACAAGTATCACTTGTGCACAAGTTTTTAAATGTGCAAATGGAGGCCTAGCCACCACTAAAAGGTGGACATTAAGATCCAGTTCCACATCCTGGAGTAAGTGTAACTCCCATCCAGCAAGAACTGTATTCCTATTTGTTTACCTGTCTTACAGCTGTCCAAGAGCACCTGTACCTTGTCTGAATTAAGCTTCAATTTGTTTACTGGTATCCAATCTACTCTTAACACTTCTAATTCATTCATTCATTCAAGACTCACTTTTCTCCTAGATGGGACCCAAAACAGCGTACACCATACGTTAAAATGATTTAGCTAAAACAATCTGAAACACAATTTGGAATTTCAGGTTCAGTCTTGGAAAAATAACCAGCTACTTTGGAGTTAGGTGGTAATACCGAATGTCAAAATACCAGGTAACCTTGTAGATATTA